CTCTGAACACCATCATGAACACAGCGCTAGTGCTGGCCTCTGAACACCATCATGAACACAGCGCTAGTGCTGGTCTCTGAACACCATCATGAACACAGCGCTAGTGCTGGCCTCTGAACACTACTCTAAACACAGCGCTAGTGTTGGCCGTTAAACATAACTACGTACTTTGTTCATTGAATTCCATGAATTATAGAACCAAATTGGAACACTCATCACCGCGAATTTTTTCTTAGGTCGGTATTAATTTTGTATCTTTTCTGATTATGTTTTGTTATGTATGAACGATATGTTATTTTTGTAACAAGTTTTCTCCTGTTCAAATTCGAGCATCACTTGCAATCCCAAGTAGATAGAACGACTGTCCTGGGAAATTAAAATAGCTTATCTAGTTGAACAGGTTCACATTCATTAAAAGCTAAATTAGCTTCCATGATTGATTATATTATTACAATGATTGAGTTCTAGTTATTAGTATAGGTGTATTTATGCTAACTTAGCTTTGTCGAATCGTCCAGACTGTTATGTTATGTTAATCTTTTGCTGCACTTGAAACTTTTCTCGTAAAATTATTTTGTGTTTGCTCTAACTCGACTAGTATTATTCTTCACGTTGTTCTTTTGCGTTGACCTAAATGGTTGAGTATCAATTTTAATTATTACCTTGCAGCCCCATGGTCTCTGAACACCATCATGAACACAGCGCTAGTGCTGGTCTCTGAACATAACTACGAACTTGCTCATTTTCCGATTCGCGACGAAATGTTGTGTTTACTACAACAATTCTCTTTAACTTCACTTCTTGTTGTTTGTTCGTTTGTCTGCTACAAATCTTATAATCGAAATTTAACACACTTCTACCTTTCCCATCGATCTGAAATTTTGCACACTCGCTTAAAGTTGGAGACAATGCATGAATCAATTGACAGAATGAATAATTTTGAAAATTAATTTTTTTTATATTAAAAAACAAATTTAACAATTTTTTATAATATTTGAAGAAAAAAAAATTAGAAATTCATTGTACTGTGTAGTAACAACAGAGACACTGGATTGTTTCGAGGTGTGGTCTTTAAAATGTAATTTTTAAATGCATATTATTACAAGTTATCTTCCATTCAAATTCGAGCATCACTTGCAAGTAGAGAACGATGGTCCTTGGAAATTTAAATTGCGTATCAAGTTGAACAGGTTCAGTATAGGTGCGCTAATACTAACATAGCTATACAAAGCATCCAGACTGTTCCGTTGTCGCTAAATCCTTTGCAGCACTTGAATCTTTTCTCGTAACATTATCTTGTGTTTTGCTCTAACTCGACTAGTATTATTCTTCACTTTGTTCTTTTGCGTTGACCTAAATGGTTGAGTATCAATTTTAATTATTACCTTGCAGCCCCACATCTATTGTAGGCAGTAGGTATTTTATTTTTAACTATTTATCTCAGATTGTTGTGATAATTCACTTTTTAGGCTTAATTTGAATAGTACAAATTTGTATTCACGTGCACAAGTCTTACGGCCAAACATCACTGATTTATTTACGAGTACGAAAGTTTTACAAGAATTTGCCTGCCTGTAACACACTACGTATATATTCTATAAATAACAGGACCTTCAATATGTTAACTGAGTGTTTTAATGCACATTTTGAATCAATTTGCAGATTCTCCTCAACTAGTGTAAATGATAACTATCGCCGTATCTATCATACTTTTTCCATTATCAAGCTGAAACTTGTATTTGTTTTGGGTCTATCATCTGCTTTCCTGTTTTCAAAAGGCTACATGTATAGATCACAAATTAGTATTCAATCGCAGAAGTCGTAGAAAATTGTCCATCGTATTTTCGTCATATCAAACTTTGTCTGTTTTAACGAAAGGACTTTCATTTGGTTCTAGATTATGAACTGCATTCGAGTTTTTTTATCAGGCTTTCCCTGCATAAAAGCCGCTCACTTCACTTGGGGTCATGGACTTTATCATTGATCATTTGATTGTTTGATTATTGTATCATCTGAATGATTATCATCTGATTGTTTGTTTATCATCTGAATGATTATCATCTGATTGTTTGTTTATCATCTGATTGTTTATTTATCATCTGATTGTTTGTTTATCATCTGATTGTTTGTTTATAAACTAAAAATAATTCTCATCTGCGTTTGAGTTTTCAAAAGTAGATCACAAACAGAGTTTCCACGCCCAGCAGCAATAAAGTACAGTCAGTTTCTACACCGCACTTGGGGGTCATAGAGGCTACTGCGTTACACTTGTTGAGACGTGCCTAAAGTGGCAGTCAAGCGCTTGTATCAAGAATGCCTTCTTTGATATACAGGCGTGTGTGTGCAGCGGTATACAGACGTTTTTGTGTGGTCGTATACAAGGGAATAACCTCAATTGAGCTATGAACTACTGCATTCACGAGAGCCTAGACTTAATAAGGCAATTGAGATTATGTTTGCCTCAGGTAGCTGCCTTACAAGCAAGCAAAATCCTGATCTTAACGTTGGTTTAGATTTTGATGTAAATTTTTTGTGTTTGGTTGAAACCGATGATGCGGTTGTCAAGAATTGCATCATCGTGTGTAAAAACCGTTTATTGTTCCGTTGATTAATTGAACAGTGTTCTTCCGGCTGAATTCCATATTATTGATTTAATATTTATTCACATTTTTTTTATTTATATGATTGAGAAATGATTGTGTTTCTACCTGCACTCTAATATTGAAGCGAAGTAACAAAGCACCAGGCCGTTAAACTGTCGCTCAATTTCCTGTCTACTTGGACTTCCGTCTAATGTGATCCTTCTAGTCGTTATATGTCCTCGATTCAATGGTATAATAATGTATGTATGATGTATCATATTTTAATTGAAAATTTATAGGTCAATAGGTTAGTCTAGTCTTAAAGCCTGATTTCCTGTTATATGAATTTTCCCATCTGTTGAGGTGTTGTTGTTTTACGACTCGTCGGGTTCGTCACAAAAATCTTATATTACAACCATAATAACATTAACTGTTACTTATAGTGAAAATTGAAATGTTGTTATGTGGAAAATATATTATGGAGTAGAAGGGTTTGGATTCTCTATCCTTCCTTGCGTGAATTTCGTACCGAAATTTCCTGCACTACGAATTTCCTGCGAACGATTATTTCTTATACATCCGCAAAGAAAAATCCGGATTCGTGTACTGAATACTAAATATATCAGTGCATTTTGCATTCGTACGGAAATTATTGAAAAATCTTATAAAACTTTATTTTCCCGAAAATATAAATCTAAATAAAAAATTAAAATAAGACGCAGAATAGCTATTTTGCCGAAGCTTCATGGCGTGGCAACTATTAACAACCTTGCGCTGCACAACCCAGACCAATTACCTCGACGTTAAACGAGCTAAATGCTGCCGAAAAGCCTTGACTTAAAATTATTATTGTTAAGGTTAAATAAACTCGATGAGGTAGCACTCATCTTTATTATTTGTGGCTTGGGGACGTGCAATTTGTGGCCATACATCTCAGTACAATTTGCACGGATAGTTGCCCAGGTAAAAAAAAAACAGTCTTTATTTTTGACAATCGTAGTAAGGATAAAACTCGCTAAATTGTTGTTAGCGATGTCAAAAAAAAATAATTTTCAGCTCGATAATTTTTAAATAGAATAGCTGGACTTTTGCGTGCGAGGTTGAAGCTCATTCTTAAATTCACACGCTTCAATTTAAACGATGAGCGGCGACCAATAAATTCATCGACGAAGGTTCATGCCAGAGACGCATCACACGCATGCACCATCACACCTCACCATCACACGCATGCACCATCACACGCATGCACCATCACACCTCACCATCACACGCATGCACCATCACACGCATGCACCATCACACGCATGCACCATCACACGCATGCACCANTAATAAATAATATATTATAATATGAAATAAATTA